TTCTGTGACTTAGGACCTTGGACCTCAGTTTCTCCATCTGTAAAAATGAGGGAAGTAATCATTGAAACTGTTAGGATGGCTCTGGCAATTACCCTAGAGGAAGTGCTTCATAAATCAAGGCTGTGTAAAGAACAAAATTTAAAAAAAGAAAAGAATCTAATGGCTACCATTGCTAGTGTAGTCTTTCTCTGAGGTTAATATTGTAAGCAGTCTCCTTATAGCCAGCAAGAAAACTGAGAGTTAAAGAAATCTAGTCAGTTGGTGATGGGAGATGAGCCAGGTGACACATGAGGCCGGTTAGTGTCAGTTATCGTGCAGTTGTTGAGGCGTGTGTTATGTTTGTACCGTGTGTCTGCAGGTGATGTGTGATGTGTGATGGGTGTGTGTGTGTAGGAGCTGGAGGTGTGGCCTGGGAAGAAGTAGGAAGCCTGCAAATGTGCTTTTCAGAGCCAGCGGGCTGAAAGGCCAGAGGGAGCGTGGGTGGGTGTTGGATCCCTGGAGGGACGGGATGTCTTGGTTGATCTCTGGAAGCTGGCAACACCGTTTTACTCTGTGACAGGTTCCCATCAGGGTACCTGAGGGAGGAGGCTTGGAAGATAGGCAGGATCAGATTGTGAGGATGACATTAGATGCTGTCGTGGACATAGTGGGAGCCAGGGCAGGGATCTGAGCAGGAGGACTGATCCCATTGTGCATTAAGAGTGTCCCAAGGGGAGGATCAGATGGCAGGCGGGGGTAGGGGGGGTCTGGTCCACTGAGTGCCCTGTCAGGTTGGTGTCCCTGGACCCTGACACTCTAGCAGACCCGGGGGGAGAGTTGAATCATTTGGTGTTTGCTGGCTTTGTGCAGCTCCTGGGTTGGGGAGTGAATATTTCCATGATAACCAAAGTCCTCAGGGCACAGCAGGGGCGGGTGGGGAGAGCTAGATTTTTAGGCTGCAGGAGAACTGTAGGGTTACCCTGTTGTGGGAAAAGCTACTTTGACCCAGGAGATACTGTGTATGTGGTGCGGGGAGGAAGGCGGGGCAACTAAGGCCTCTTCCCTCTGCGGGATGCATCCTTTATGCGCCAAGCCTTCTTGCCCTGTGAGGGCTGTGGCAGTTGGAGTTTGCTCTGGCATCCCTGATAACTAAGGATGTTACCCAGGCAGGCAGCAGCTCTGACTGACCCTGGGAAGGCCTCAGAGAAAGGCTTTCTCTTGGGCATCAAGGCCAAGTAACCTGCCACCCAGCTCATGAAATAGACGTTCCCTACCCTGAGGCAGCCCTGTGTTGCATGTGCTCTAGAGGCAGGTCGGAGCTCAGCTCACTTACACTGAGTCTTTGGCCTGTAGAGGTGGCCTTGGGGTCTGATCCGTGCACTGGGTGCTTGCTATGATCAGCGGCTCAGCTCCTATAGTTGAGGGAATTAGATGAGTGCCATGCCCAGGGGGCTTCTTTGCACAGTGCCCGGGGCAGAGGACAGCACAGCACTTCATAGTGTTGAAACATTCCGGGCCATCCTTCCACTGGCCACTCTGTTCCTTTGGGTAGTAAGTGGTGAGGCCCCCACTGGCCTCCAGGTGTCCCTCATTTTTAGCCACGTCCATTTAGCAAGCATTTGCTGATTGCCTCTTGGGGGCAGAGCTCTCCCTGCCTGGGAGGTGGGGGCCAGGTAGGGCTTTCAGGACAGGAGCCTGAAGGCAGGTTTCAGCCAGGCAGGAGGAGGCCATGCCTAGGAAGGCCTGAGCCCACCAGAGGCCTGCCTAGGAAGCCCGGGGGATTTCCTGCCCCCTGGGGAACAGACCCTGGTTCCAGTACAGACCACCCCTGCTACTTCCCTGGGGATTGATCTGGTCACAAAAGTGTGGCTTAAATGGTGGAAGCTGGGAAAGATGGATTGTTGGTCCTCATTCTGGGGAAGGGCCACCCGATAGCCCCTGCTGACCCTGGGTCACCCACACTGCCTCTATCCAGTGGGCCAGGAAGAAAATCATTAATGGGAGGCTGGCTTCTGGGGTAAGGCAGCTCCCCTCTGGGAGCTGGGGTGAGGAGATTGCTTTGACCTCTGGTCGATAAGGTCTCCTGTGAGCAGGAGGAGAGTTGGAGGACAGCGGGGGATGCTGGATGCACACTCTTGGGGGAGGGGATGGGCCAGGCCACCTCCTGAAGTCATTTCGGGAAGGTCAGAGGCCACAGGTTGGGGCCTTTGGGACAGATGCCCTCCAGGTGTGGGCCTCAGGCAGTGGAATTCTTCCTTTCCTGAGCATCAGAGTGGGAAGAGGGGTGATCTTGGGGATCAGATCTAGGCTATGAAACCTGGGTGGGCCATGGCAGGCTGGTGGAAGTGAAGAGAAGACATACTTAATGGGCCAGCAGACCAGGCCCTGCCCCACTGGGCTGGGTGGCTTGGGGCAATGGATTTAACATTTTTGCACCTCAGTTTCTGTATCTGTTCAATGGAGTGACAAGTGTTCCCATGACACTAGGTTGTCAGGACTTACAAAAGCAATAGCGTCTTTCTGGATCGTAGTCTGGTTTTCTGGCCTTCGTTTGGAGCCCCTAGAAGGGTTCCCTTACGTTCTCTGTGGTTACCCTGACGAGGGTTTACTTTATGCCAGGCCTGGCTCCAAGCCCCTACTGTGCTGCTTTTTTTTTTTTTTAACTTTGAGACAGAATCTTGCTGAGTTTTCCAGACTAGGCTTGAACTTGTGATCCTTCTGCCTCAGCCTCCCAGAGTGCTGGGATTACAGCTGGGTACCACCATGCCTGTGTTGCTTTTTACATTTAATCGTGGTACCCCATAGGGTGGATGCTATCATTACACTCATTTCATAGGTGAGGAAACTGAGGCTCAGAGAGGCTGGGAACTTACCTTAGGTCCCTTAGCTAGAGCGTTCCATGCCCTGGGCTTTGCATCTGAGGTGAGCTTCTGATGGCACTAGGGGAACACCAACCAGGGCCATGGCCCATGGCCATCCTGAGGGACGGTGCACAGGAAGCTCCCCAAAGCCTGGGTTAACTCTGCATTGCTTGCTTTATGACTGAATCTGTTCAACTGTGCAGCCTCAATTTCCTCATCTGTAATGTGGGGTGAGGGTCGCAGCTGGAGGACAATTGTGAAGGTTCAGTAATGTGGTCTTGTTGAAACATCTATGGGGCTCAGGCTGGGGTGGGAGACCTGCTGGTCAGCATGGGGTCAGAGACCCTGGGCTGTGCGTGGACCACAGCAATGAGGAAAACATGGTCCTTGCCCTTGGAAGCCCACAGCTGAGGGGTGAAACATGCTTGGGCAGCCAGAGTTCCAAGAACTTCACCATGGGTATGGTGGGTCCATGCTGTTGTGGGAATAGGGTCCCATGTGCCTACTGTTGTATCAGGCTTTGTGGCTGCACAGAACAAACCGAAGATACTGTCTGGACTTCAGAACCTGTTTGGTTTTGTGGTTAAGACGAGATGGAAAAATGCATGCAATTAGCGCTAAATGGCATGACTGGGCTCCAAGTCTTGTCAACATTCATCTGTTTAATCACTCATTCATTTATTCATTCACTCACGCACTCACTCATTCAGTGTTTGAGTGTATGTATTAGGTCCTGGGGAAATAGCAGCACACAAGAGACAGCTGCACCTCTGATAGTGCCACCAGCCTAGTGGGGACAGATGAAAACAGGATGGCAGATGGTTTGCCAAGTTGGTGAATGCTTTATTTATTTTTTTTGGTAGCGAGGATCAAACTCGGGTCCTTGTGCTTGCGCAGCAGGTGGTGAAACTACTGAGCTAAATCCCCGGCCCTGGTGAATGCTTTAAAGCAACACAAAATATATTCAAACATGGCAAGTGACAGAGGTGGGGGCTACCTCTGCAAGGTGGTCCCAGAATGCCTGTCCAAGTGATGTCTTGAGCAGATGCCCGAGTAGAGGCAGAGTGTAGAGATCTGGGAATGAGCATCAGAGCAGAGGGAAGAACAAGAACAAAGGCCCGGAGGCAGAGGTGTGCTTGGCGTTTGGAAGGCCCCGAGGTGGTAAGGTAGCCTGTGCAGCAGGTGTGGATGGAGCAGTAAGAGGAGGTGAAAAAGCAGTAGGGGGCTCACTTGTGAGTCCTGGATGCCCTGGTGAGGACCTCCACTTGAGTTCAGCAGGAAGCCTGGGGAGACTGGACAGGGAGGATTTTATCAGAGAACTGGGTTTGGTGGAGGATGGGTTGGCAGAGGGCAAGAATGGAGTAGATCAGCAGGCCAGTGAGGAGGCAGGTACAGACTGTCCAGATGAGAGGCTGAGTCTGGGAAAGAAGCTCAGGAGGTGTGCCCTGGCCTAGCCAGACAAGGCTTCCTGGAGAATGTGGACAGATTCGAGCTAACCTGGAGCAGTACTGGGAGTTTCCACGGGGGGTGCAAAATGGAGGCTTCTCTGAACAGGGCCTGGGGCGTGGGGCTCATGTGAGTGAGCATGAGGACCCCTGGGGGTGGGGAGGACCCCTGGCCGGCAGCTGACTGGGGGGAGTCATAGTGGACTCTGGCCCGTTGGTCCCCTAAGGAAGACTTGCCAGGCTGCCCTCCTCCCCTGCCTGAAACCCACACAGCAGTTCTCTGTCCCTCTAACTCCCTCCAGAGCTGTCTGGATGTCAGACCTTTTCTTCTCATTCACTCACTTTAGCCTCACAGCAATCCTGGCATGACATAAGAGTAGGGGTTTGATCTACCATTCTACCATGAAGGAATCTGAGACGGAATAAACAGTGTGCCTGAGATCACATGAGAAACTGGCTCCATTGTCTTGTTTACATGTGGGGCTGTGGTGGAAAAATTAAACAGACATAGGCCTGACTCTGAGCTTTGCTACTTGCTGGCTGGGCCGCCTTGGGCAGCGTGCCTTTCTGAGCCTCAGTTGCCTCATCTGTGAAATAGGGGTAGTAATGGAGTGGTTATGACGTCTACTGAGGCCTGGCCTGAGCTGGCATAGAGGATGCGTGGCTCTCTGTTGTGAGTGTGGGTAGCTCACAGTTTTCTCCTTTCCCTGCTTAGGTGCTGGCGGCTGAGGAGAACGTGGACTTCCGCATCCATGTGGAGAACCAGACCCGGGCTCGGGATGATGTGAGCCGTAAGCAGTTACGGTTGTACCAGCTCTATAGCCGGACCAGTGGGAAACACATCCAGGTCCTGGGCCGTAGGATCAGTGCCCGTGGCGAGGATGGGGACAAGTATGGTATGTGCTAGCCCCTCCCCTCACCCCACGCTCCTCAAGTTCAAATCCCAGCTGTGCAGTGTGCTTGCTGTGTTGTCTTTGACCTAGCACTGATCCTTTCTGGGCCACCATGTCTTGATCTGTAAAATGGGGACATAGCAGTGAATCCTTTCCAGATTGTTGGGAGAAACAATAAAAGCTGCTTTGGCTGGCAAATGCCCCACGAAGTGGTAGTTGTCATGGGTATTGGTGATTCGCCTGGAGATGTGCTAAAGCAGGTGGGCTGCTTCTCAGCCATTGTTACATCAGGTTCAGTTTCAGACACAGGGTGGGAGCCTCTGGGTCATGCCTTCTGGATGCTGTTGGTGGGGGTGGTAGAAATCAGCGCAGTGTGCATGGGTGTGAATGTGGTGTGTTCACCTGTGCGTGTGTTTCCAGCTTGAGCTCATGCACCTGTGAACCGTGGCTCTCACAACCTCTTGGGCTGCTCTTGCCTCTGGAACTGCCCAAACTTCCTGTGGGGCATTTAGGAGCCCTCACAGCCTCCCTGATGCTGCTAGTGCAAAGGGACCAGGACAAGGGGAACACTCGGACTCCCACTCTTCCCAAGCACCAGCCAGAGACCCTCTGCAGTGAGCAGAACAGACAGAACTCTTACCTTCCCACAGCTTGGCGGAGATCTGGCCAAGACAGACACTGAGCAAATACTTAGCACGCGGATTATTTATTTAGAATTGCTAGGCAGGAAGAGCTGAGGCCGCTGTGAGGCTCCTGGCATTTGCCCATCTCTGGAAAAGCACCTGCCCCCACCAGGTTCTGCCTGCCCAGGCCAGGTTCTGGAAGGTGCCTCAGAATCACAGGAGCTGGTGCTGTGTGTGGCCGCGGTAGCGGCCAAGGCCAGGGACGCATGCAAACAGTAAGCCTGCCAGCCTGGGCCTTTCTGGGATGATGCCCCACCTGCCCGCCAGCCCCTGCCCACTGCAGTCAGGACATGACAACAAGACAAATAATTTCTTGGACCTTTTATCTTGGACACCATTTATTTTCCCTCAGCCCCAGGGCAGGACTGACCTCATGGTAGGGCTCCAGTGTGGCAGCTGCACCGGCATGGGGGCTGGGCCAGGCCAGGCCAGGCCGGGAAGGGCCACGCTGGGCTCCTGCACCTAAGGCCAGCTGCCTCCCCTCCCTCCTGGCTGCCCCATCACTCTTACTGCCTCTCTTCCCTCCCTCTCTCCCTTCCTCCTTTCCTGGTCCTGGCCGCTTCCCCGCTTTGTTTCTGTCAGTCTCTGTGTTCCTCCCTCCCTCTGAACACAGCGTCCCTCCTCCTGTCTCTCTCGCTGCTGATCTGGTCGTCTCTCTGGGCCTCTGTCTCCTGGGCCCCTCCACAGATGCCTGCCTGTGCAGGGCAGACCCAGGTGGTGGTTTTCCCTGGGATCCTCTGTCCAGTTGCTGCCAGGGAAGGGGCAGCTGGCTGGCCGAGGCGGGAGGAGGTGCCCTCCTGGGGAGTCCCAGGAGCTCTTGCCTGGCCCTCCAGGCTGGGAGAGTACAGGGGGGTCAGATGCTGGTCTGAACCATCTGTCCACACCCTGAGACACGAGGCAGGAGCTGGGGAGGGAGAGGAGCCTAGCCGTGGCCGACCCCTCACTCCAGAGCCGCTTGTCCTCTTGTTTCCTGGGAACTTGGGATCTTACTGGTATGTGACCTTAGAAAAGCCCTTAGCTTCTCTGGGCCTCAGTTTCTCTTCTGCAGAATACAAGGCTTGGACTAGAGTGCTGCTTCTTAAATACTCCTGTGCACATTAACCACTGAGGGACCTTGTTGAAATGCCTGTGTTGGTGCCATGGGTTGGGGTGTGGTCCACGTGTCTGTTTCTAACAAACACTCAGGTACTAGCCCGCCTTGGCTTCTCTTCCATCTCCACAAATTCTAGGACTTCATCATCCTCTTTCAAGGAACATTTTTATGCACTCCTCCAACTCTTCACCACCCAGAGCAGCAGGGGGCCTTGTGGGCTGCTGCCGCCACATTTAAATGTCCCATTAGAAACACAGATGAGGCCCATCTGTGAGCCCTGGGAGAGGAAGTGAGACAATGGAGCCAATTGAGGCTTCCAATCTAGATAATCAATACAAATATTATTGGGAGGGTGATTTATGTGGTCACACCGGGTGAGAAGATGAGGCTGCCGTGTGGATCCGCGTGAGGGCCTGCCTTGCCTGGGGGAGGGGCAGCCCCTGGGCCCAGGGCTCTTCAGTAACCTGCTCCCCCTTCTCAGGCCTGGGGCTGGCTGAAAGAACACTCCACCTGAGACTGGTAATGCCCACTGAGCTTCACAGGATTTGAGAATATGCAGACTCAGAATGGCAGCAAACCCCGAGTAGAAACAGAATACCTACAAACAGCTGGAATCCAGAAGCCTCACAAACACTGGGATTGTTGGATCTGGCATCCTGAGGCCTCACTGCCATGCTGAGTGAGGTCTCACTTGTCTGGACGCTTTGTCCACAAGCTGTACGACAGTGGACAGTCATCAGGTGACAACTGCTTGGATGTCAGTGAGGTTTCTGCACCTTGCTATTCTGGAAGATAGTCTGTCTTCCTGTTGTCCTTAAAGCTTGCCCAGCTCTCTGGAAGCCCTAAGGATGGGCTGCTGCAGGAACCAGGGGCTTTCTTAGCTTTGGCTTGATTCTCCAGAAAAAGACATCTGGGCAGTCCTGGAGGCTAGGATGGTGGGATACTTGGCAGGCAGGGGCTGAAGTGGAGGGCCACCTGCCCAGTTGGGACTATATCACCCTCTTTCCTTCTCGTCCTTTGTCCCAGTCATCTCTGTCCTGTAGGTAGGTGCTGACTCAAAAAACAGCACTGGACCAAGAAGCAGGATGCCTGGGTTCCAGCTGCAGCTCTGCCACTGAACAGCCTGCAGAGCCTGGAGCAAGTCCCAGCTCTCGACTCAGTTTCTTTGTCCACCAAGTGGGGATGAGAGAGGAGTCCCCACTCTGCTTGCATCCTAAGCTAGGATGTGAAGGGAGATGGAGGCACTGACAGCTCTTGGCCCTAAGAAGCAGGGCTGCTGGGTAACAGCTGGAGTGTCAGAATGGGGACCCTCCTTGCAGGGAGAGGCAGGGCCCAGCATTAGATAGGCGCTGCAGAGGCAGCTCTGCTTTCATAAGACTTATGATCGGCTGTTTCTGTCTGCTTTTGCTGGCAAGAAGGGCTTCTCCACTTGAGGAAAAAATTATTTCAATAACCCATTTTGCAGCAGACCAGCCTTCCAGGACCAGCAGTGCTCACAGCAGCCCGAAGGCGGGCCAGGGAGGGGTTGGAGTGCTAGTTAAGGGGACAATTTCAAGGAATCCCATGGGATTTAAATCTGGACCCCACCACTTTGGAGGGGAAGCCTGTGGCCCTGAGTCAGCCTCTCCGATCCTGTTTTCTCTCCTACAGTACAGGGGTAATGGAAATGAGAGAATGTCTTTGCTGGAAGGTAAGATGATTGTTAAAGCAAAAACATTAATACTAATCACCGGAACTCATTCCTGTCATTTGAGAGGGGGCGGGGCTACTGTCATGGGCTCAGATGGAGGTCCCATTGGAAGAGGGAGCTGCTGTCCCATCATGGGACCCTGGCATTTCCAGTGCATGTGGCTGAGGCTTCTTGGCAATTCTGAGCAGCAGGGTCTCAGAACAGAGGAGGCAGGAGGGCTTTGGGGCCTCTTGTTGATATGTCCAGTCCCCTCTCAGCTAGTGCCAGTGTCCCTCACCATTCTGCACAAATTACTGAGCACTAGGGGTGAGCTAGTAAGACACACTTGATGCTGGCCCTCAAGGGGCTCACAGCCTCTGCTTCCCATTCCTTACTAGGATCTGACTTTAGGAAGATCTGTAGCCACCAGCTCTGCGCATAACTTGAGTGCAACTGCTGCCTCAGTCCCTACCTTTCAAGCAAGTGGGCTGCCCTGTGTGTGTGTGTGTGTGTGTGTGTGTGTGTGTGTGTACACATGTGAACATGTGTGGTCCCTACCCTGCATACTTCCTGCACCTCAGCCTGGAGGAAGCTGTGACTCCAGGGCTTCAGGAGGTGGCTTGCTGAGCCCCTGGGTGGAGAGGAATATCCTGGAGCCCCCATTGTCACCCTTGTCCCCATGAGGGTCCTCTTGGGGAGAGCCAGATGCTGACTTCAAGACATTGAGCTCCTTGCAGGCAGTGACTTTGTCTTGCTTTTAGCCATGTCCTCATGTCCAGCACAAGGCAGAGAGTAGGCCCCGCTTGCAGGTTGTTCATCTTGTAGGGCTTTTTGTTGAGCTGGTGACAAGAACAGCTGTCCCTTTTTCCCTCATCCCGGTCCCTGCTGAAGGACTGTGTGAGCCAGGAGCAAGGTCGTTTGAGCTGGCTGCTATGGCTGAGATTGCAGGGACCACCTGCTTTCTGAGTCTGACCCCTCCACAGTCCCTTCTCCATCCACCTGTCCATGGCCTTCACTGCTCAAAGGCGCTCATGTTGCTTAACAGAAAACCAGGGACCATGAATCAGCTAGGGGCCTGGGATGGCCCACTCTGCTCTACCCTTGGCTCTACACCTGCTCTGTGCACACTCTGCTCCAGTGACCGTGGCCTTGTGTCCTGTTGAATATGCCAAGCACATCCCGATCTGAGAGCCTTTGTGTCTGCTGTCCCTCCAGTTCAGGGATGCTGTCCTCCCACCTGTTCTTGGGGGTCTCCCTCACTTCACTCGGGCTTCTGTCCAGTGGTTTCCTTATTGGAGTCCCCACCTCTGCCCTTGCAAGGGCGTAATTTTCTTCCTAGTGCCTATTGCTGTATGACATCTGATTATGTATTTTGTTATTTGGTTCCTGTCTCTGTTAGCGTGCAGACTCCCAGGGGCAGGGGCTTTTGTCTGTCTTGTTCAGTGCTGTGCCCTCCGCGCACGTAGCCTACCACAGAGGTGCTCAGTGTATGCCCGAGTGAGTGTGCACATGGATGCCAGCTGTGTGTGCCTCAGCATGTGGAGGGGGCCGTCTCCTG